AGACAAATACACACAAACGCACACAACAACCGACGAGATACAAACACAGAGAGAGGAAAAAGTGGTTATACAGAACTTGAAGACATTACCTACATGTAAATATATAAATAATTATAAATTTGTTGGGTTTTGTTTAACAATGTCAGAAGGAGAGAGGCACTGAGGCACCGTCTTCCGCCCCCCGACGCTCCTGCTGTGCCTCCTCCTTCTGACAGGAACTGCCTAAAGAGCAAGCATGAATGATGCCTGAGTGGACAAACACAACTCACAAGTTCCTGGCTCTCTCGGCTCCTCTGCAGAGGGTCCTAGGCTACGTCCACACTAATACGTTTTAGTTTGTAGTGCATCGTTTTCTCTCCGTTGTGGCCTCCACACTGAGACGCCGTTTTCACTGATGGAAAATGCAGCGTTTTGAAAACACTCTCGAAAACGCATACATTTGGAAATGGTGCTTTTGCGTGGCAGTGTGGACAGCAAAAACAAAGACTTTCTAAAATGATGACACATGTTAGTCATATGATGCAGTCATGTGACCAATTAAACTAAGATAGCGGAGGACATTTTATACAGCAGTTGTTTTGTTTGCTCTGAATTTTGACAGCCCTATTAAAGGTTAATATCAGTCTGTACACGCTCCAGATAGCTTTTCTTCAAATTCTTCAACTCTCACTCGCTTTTGCAACTTTGCACTTTTGTGTTACTCGCTGCAACAATTCCGCCTCATTGTTAGTCCATTTAAAAAACTCGGTGCTTTTCCTCGACATTTTGCCGCGACGTTTCAAAGAGCGGGAAAGTAAAGAAGCGGCAGACAGAAATGAGGCAGGTCGAATCTTCTTGCGTTTCACGCATGCGCAGAACTGGGACGTAAGCGTTTTCAGCCGTTCTGTGAAAACGACTGAAAACGCTAGTGAACACACCGTTAGACGCAGAGCGTTTTCAGACAAAACGCCGTTTTCAAATCTGTCCGGGCTACTGTGGACGTAGTCACATCATCAATCTTCATTCAAGATTAATTTATTATCTTGAATGATATAGTTATTAATTTATCTTAAGTTTAAAAACAAGAAATGGGTAATGGCTGTGTGTGTGTGTGTGTGTGTGTGTGTGTGTGTGTGTGTGTGTGTGTGTGTGTGTGTGTAAAACACGCGTAAAAAAGGTGGCAAAGTAAAAAGTAAACTTTTTGTCTAAAAAGTAAAGTTTAAAAAGACCCAAACATTCTAAAGCTAGTAAAAAGTGGATTTTGCTTTTCTTGTGTTATAAAGTTGTTTTGTTTCCTCATTCCACTAAATATGTTTTTAGGAGTTTAGTTATTTTCAGTAGTAGTTGATGCAGGTATTGTTAAAGAATGAAGCTAATAATTAGTCTTGTGTGTTTGGAGTATATTGTCATTAGCAGACATGTAGAACAGTGTGTTTCTTCAGCGGCCTGTCTTGTTTCTCTTTCTGAAAAAAGTCGAAAGCTCTTACAGGTGTAAGAACATCCAGCTGATTGTGGCCATCATAGTGATCGTCCTCATCGCTGTCCTCATCATCATCATTCTGCTAGCTGCTGGTCATCCCCATCAGTGCTCCTGTGACTCCCATAGCCAGCCCCACCTCCAAGCCCTGAAAACACATTTAGATCATAATCCAACATCACTGCATGAGTCTCTCTGATCCTACATCTGTTAATTTGCAAAAAAAAAATAAAAAAATGGTATCATCTCCTAATCACACTGTCGTGGTTTTAGCAATAAAATGATGCTTGTGTCAAAAACATAGACTGCATATGGACTTGAAGACAAATATGTAACTTTAAGGGGAAAAATAAAAGCGATCTGTGTTTAAGATAAATAAATTATGTCTCATTGAGTAGGAAGATGGTGTAAGTGATACTGTAATAAAACGTGTGTGCAGTGCCATCCTCAGCTTTGTGCAGGCACGTCCTGCTTCCATTTAAGCAGCAGAGGGCACTCAAGAGTCGGTTGTTTGCACCATACACTCAGTGGCTCTGAAAGAAAACTTTCACTGTGGAGGTCATTAAAACACCACACACGTTAGCATAATACTTTGGTTCTTTCATTTGATAAACAGAGCACAATCAACAGCAGAATCTGAAGAATAAGCATCTGTAACATTTTAAAGATGTACTATGTTGCACACCTTTTAATCCTCACTTAAGATTCAATTCAATTTTATTTATACGGTGCCAAATCTCAGCAACAGTTGCCTCAAGGTGCTTCATATTGTAAGGTAAAGACGCAGTAAAAACCACAACAATCAGACATCCCCCTAGCAAAAAAAAACAGGTGACAATGGCAAGAAAAACTCCCTTTTAACAGGAACAAACCTTGGGCTCAACAAGGCTCAGGAAGGGGGAAGCAATCTGCACTTATGAGGGCAGATGTTGTGAAAATTTGCACTGAATAGGTCAACATGACGGACTACAAGAAAAGCATTGCACACAGATGTTTTGGGTGATGACTAAGAGATTACTCCAGCATTAGCATAGTGCCTTCTGCATTATACCGATTCTTCACACTGGTCAACTTAAAATAACATAATAAACCTGCTGTTTATACTGAGATGTGATCTGAGATTTTTGGACTTGAACAGATGAGACCAAAAGTTTCAAATCTCTAAATCAAGCAAACAGAAACGAGGCTTTTGTCTGTTTTCACACTGCCAGTGCTACTAGGCTCTTCAAACCATCCACCTGGCTCCAGGATCATTTATGGCCTCTACATAGGCCCACGTCAACCAATTGGCTCTCAAAGTTGCAGTTCTGTCATTTTAGACTGAAAATCTGCAGCACTTTATCTTGAAAGTGGTAAAAAAACAACAACAACCTAAATATCTATTTAAACATAATGCCACGTATATGTATAGAAATGTTGCAAAAGGTTCCAAAAGTTAACTGCCCGTTTATAATCTCCCTTCTCTGTGACTCCTTCTGTGTTCATACAGGCTGACTGTAATAGAGAAATTGCTGATTTGCCAGCAGATGGAGACTGAGAGTCCAAATGATCTGAGTCTTGATTAAGTTGATCAGAGGGGATTCCCGCAGAATTTTCCTTGTTGTTCAGTGAAGATCAGGTCTTGATAACATTATGAAGGTTGTTGTGCCACATTTTGGCACACGTTTGCTCTCTGTTTGTCTAATCGCAGGCTTTGCTAATGTGTAGAGCAAAGCAAAAAAACAAAAAAAGCTAAGCTATGATGCAACATTGGGTTATGGAGTTTAAGTGATTAAAAAAGGGTGTATGCTACAAACTACACCCAGCTGGTAAGGCTGGTTGCCAGAGAGCCTTCACTGATCAATGTTTTTCTACAGCAACAAGGTCTATAAAACCACATATCGTTGTGTTGTTTTACAGGCTTTAAGGTGTATTCTGTGTGCATTTTGTCAAAGAAACTGCAAAAATAAAATGCAAAAACAGGCAAAGGAAACACACTGGTCACAACAATAAAAATTGTAAATCCTCTGTGTCTTTAAATGATTTTTTTGGATTCTCTTCCCAAAGTAAAAAGAATAAATCAATCATTTCAAACATTCCAAAGTGTATTCAAACGAGATAGACAGCAGGTTGTAACAGGCTGGACTCTGATGTTGACTTAATAGTTTCTCAACTGAGCCTGTCTTTCCGTTCACTGTGAAAGTGCTGTTTTGCCCACATGTGGTTAGTAAAGCAATATAGTTATCCCCATGGCAAAAGACCTAATTAAGCTTTGCGACAACAGCTCTGGAACACAAAGCTCATTTGTTACTAATGGGAAATCAGCCCCGACTGTCATGTGAATGTGACTCTGCCATCTATGCATGAACCTCAGGCAGTAATGTGAAGGGAGGGTGGTCAGTATCCTGAATGCAACCTTTGTATTTGTGAAGCTTTTTCCCCACAGCAAGCCTTTTGTTGGCCTGGTCTGTGTCACCAAAAACTGTGACCCACCATAATGTTTAATACGTAGACGGTGCTGATGAGATACACAGTGATAATTATACTGTCATACAGATGATGTGCTAGTAAAATGAATTTATGATGAGTGCAGCCTCATGTTGTTTATGTTTAATATTTAAATATCTTTATATTACTATTTTTATGTAATACACTCTATCGTAGTGTCATAGTCCTTCATAGTGCTGAAGTAGATGATACTTTTACTGCACTACAGTACACAACACCACACAAGAACATACTGTATGGTTTGGTAAAATATAGTATATTGTGAAACTGCACAATATACTACTGTAAACTTTAAAAATCTATCATTGTGCTGTAAGACTACTCTCACATAAAACACTGCCTGAAACAATTACATGAAAATTAAACACAACAATATCATCATACAGACAGCTGAAACTGAAAGCGAAAGTATAACACAGTGATGGAGGAGTGGAGAGGCAAATTTTGTGGTACTAACTCTTAAATAGTACTGTAATATTAGTAATAGTTATTATTGTTATTATTATTATTATTATTATTATTATTATAGAGATAATAATAGTAGTATTTATTGCTAATAAAGTAATAGAGTTTTAAGTTTGTCAACTCCAAACCACTGATTTTAACACAGGAGATTCTTTTTTCACACATTTATCTTCACTCACAGTGTAAACAGAAACTGTGACAGAACCAGATTGTTTGCTGTATTTTTTCCCGATTAACTGTATTTACATTTGTCACTCATTAAACCTTTGTTGACGGAAAACAAGGCCCCAGGTGCTCATATATTCCATTCATGCCCATTCCAGTTGTTAATGATTACCTAATGTTATTGTATTTTTGTCATTACAGACCATCAAATACTGCTGTTTAAGCCCAGCTACCTCCGCTCAGGGAAACAAGGAAGTAGCCCTGGGAGGTACGCGGAGCAGTTCTCGTCTTACAACCAAATTATCTCATTTGAACCAAAACCACGTGTTTTCCTAAACATAATTAAATACTTTTGGAGCTAAAAACCTAAACTTAACAGCTGCCAAAAATAACAGAGAACAAGAAGTGAGAACGAACATAACCTGCAAGTGAAACAGAAGAAAGCGCAGGTGTGAACAGGCCTGTGGTTCTACTCACACACTCAAGCTAGGCGAGCTAAGCTAAGCAAGCTAAGCTAAAAGCTAAGCAAGCTAAGGTTCAGTCAAACATCACTTGATCATTTATGAATCATGGAACTAATAAGTGTTTCCAAAATCTTCCAAGGATTAAAAGAAATTTATTCGCTTTCTTAGTTCCTTTTTCACTGTTAAGCCATTTGACCGCATACATGTGTGGAAGTTTGATGATGCAAATAAAATTGCGCTTATGCCAAAATCACATGATGAAGAAAATTTACCCCTTTCATGTTTTGCACGCATGGAAGGCCTTACTTCCCATTTCTGATATTTCTTTACTTTCCTCTAATTTTCACACCCTCACGGGACACGAATAGAATGTATGTAGCATGTATCTTTATTGTTATTATGCGGTGCAGAAAAATTTGGTTTGTATCTCCACAGATTTTAATAAGATTAAGTTAAACACACACACACGCACACACACACACACACACACACATATACTATGCAGATATGATTGCAAATATGTAAATTATAATGTGTATTTTTTTTTTCCATCAAAGCTTGTTGCACACTGCAAATTAATATGGTCTGCTGGTCTCAGGCAGGGGTCTCATGCTTGTTGAATCAAACGCTGTGGGAAAGAATTCTAATTGCTCACCGAGTGACACAGCTAAGCAACAATAGAGCAGTGTTGTCTGCTCATCAGCTCCCTATCATATGCGCGTCACACAGACATACACGGAAGCAGTCTTGGTTAAAAACCTGTTTGATGACCGACTTCTTCAGAAAAAAGAGAGGCTTTAGTCTCTGAGTGATCCAACACATATCATAACAAAAACCTAGTGTGTATCTACATCACATTTATGCTGAAAAACATGTGCCATTGTTTAGTTTAAAAAAAAAAATAAACCCATAAATTACAAGAAACAATTCCACTGCAGGAAGCAGCAAAAAGTACCACAAAGAACGGCCTTCTTAATATGGCACAGACTTATCCCTGTGGGGATATTACATGGATATTACACATATTTCACATGAGGAGGACGTTTTAAACGCTTTCAGGGCCCACAAGAAGGCAACAGCCTTAAGCGACCCAATGTCACAGAGTTCTGCAACAAAAGGGCTGTGCGTCTTATTACATCACAACACGTTTGACAAGTTCAGACAGGAAGAGCCACACACTGCCAGG